CCTGAAGAATGGTCTGAGGTTTTCCTTCTATGTTTCAACAGCACTTGATTGATATTAAAAAATAATAATGTTGATCATCAATTGTCTGTTATCTAGGAGTAATGACATTGGGGGGGGGGGGTGCTGGTGGGGGCGCGAAGGTGAAGTGGGGGCTCGATGATCAGTTGAGGGGCGCTAATTCGCTAAATAAGGTGATTTTTAAGTACTTGACCGTGGTTTTTTTGGTTGGGGGGGGTGCGAGTAATGTTTGGAGGGCCGTGCGCCCCCCCCCCCCGTGCACCCATACGCCGATTTCATAGAGGCATTGTGTATCAACAAATGATATACAAATACAAAGATGTATTATTAAAGGAATAGAGACAACGTTTTAAAATTAAGTAGGGCTTCAAAATGCTGACATATTACAAAATACAGTGAATGAAAAAAAAAAAATACAGCAAAATGGAATTCGGCGGCACAATTCTCCGAGTACTTCTCATAGAAACATTTGTATTAGAGCAAACATAAATGTATGTGTTCTGAGCGATCATGCATAAAAATTATTTCAATAGACCAAAGCGTTACAGAGAAATGGCAATTTCATGTTGCGGCACTTATACTTTTGTGGGAGGCTTCAGTGCTGCGCCTTTTCGAGAGCGTGGCGCTTTCCATTGTTCCTATTGTTACCAATCTCACGTATTCCCATAGTTCAGTAGGCCTGTCATAGACCTTACATCATCGTAAAAAATCGTTTATAGAGATATGTAGGCCTATGTGTCTTCATTGTGTTATTTATTCATTTGAACGCTGGGTATACATTGTATTTATTACCCTGTTTATTAAAGTGTTTCATTGCACACAGGCGATTATTCACTCGACAAAAAAAAAACAAAACAAAAAACAAAACAAAACAAAAAGAATTTTAAGTGTTTGATGCGGCGCTTATTCGAGAGCGGCGCTTATTCGAGCATTTACGGTAACAAGTTTTTCAACGTAAACAGACCTTGGTGGCGCTCTCCCAAATTATCTAACATTAGGAAAAATCAATAAATTCGAAACTTGTGGCAATTGTCTAATGCTCTACTAGCGAAAAAGTAAAAACATAATATTTATATCTCTCAGATTGAAACGCAGCAACCAAATTCAACATTCAGAGTATATATATTCAACATTATTTTTTATTATCCAAATACATAATAAAATCCATAAAATTGGAAGTCTCTGTATTATATTTAAATGCCCGTACCGTGTTTGTGACTCGTGTCATACATTTTTACGCTCGAGTCCTCTATTCATGTTGTACACCATACCTATGCCCAGGCATGTCTTTATTCAGTATTAATTAGGATATAACGATGATTAATAAATCATAAATTGAGTGCATTACAAAATAATGTAGTTATCATTACTGTTTCCCGTCACCTTTTTGCTATATTGACTTAATTTTATTTTTCAATAGGGCAATATTTAATTATATTGTAGATTTCTGAGTGTAGTTTGATCATGTCAGATCACGTGATTTGACGTGACTTGTAAACGATTGTTTGACCCTGTAGTGTTAACAGCACCTTTAATGGACGTTTCTTAGATCTTCACCTGATGAACATCTCTTCTGGAATACCTTAGTAAAAGTATTGTAGAAGATAATAATCCTGTTTAAGAAAAAAATAATTATATTGTTATAACAATTAATATAAGATTTGTGGTTGGAGTAGGCCAAACTGTCATTACCACAAAGTATACGGATAACTATGATTACTTAAACCTCTAAAGTGAAGGCATGATTTTTCAAAAGTATGAATTTGCTATTTCCGAGGGTCTGAGGGGCCATTTTCCCCCAAAATTTGCTCACCATGGTGGAGCTGGGATTTGTACGACAGGGGTGGGGGGGGGGGCGATGCCCCCGACGAGGGGTCAGCTTCCCCGACGAAAGCAAAGTGGGCGTAGTCGAGCTTCGATTAAAAGGTTTCCAAAGTTGGTCCAGAGGGCGAAGTCCCCGAAAATGTTGACGATTTAGGGGTTTTAAAGGCTTATTTAATCGATTTTAGAGTCTACTAGTATGTAGACTAGAAATTGCAAATTGCAAGTGAAGTGCTGCGAAGTACAACTGCATATAAATGTTCTTCGAACAAAATTATTTATGCGAGTCAA